AGGTGAAAGCAGGTGGGTTGGTGAGTCAGGTACAGGAAACACTGTCACTTTCCCAGTGGAAATTATGTTTTAGAACCATGAATCAACTGTTCTACTTAGCTCCCTGTATTTGCCAAATGCACAGTTTTGCTTTTATGTGTCAGTAGAGTCAAAACTGTCATTATCTTTGGTTTTCATGTTACATTCCTTTTATCAGTTAGGTAGGCTCAGATCTCCTCCTCTTCACAACCCGACAAGTAGCCTTAGTAAGTCTCAGGGCTGCTACAGGGAACCTGTGCCCTGTAGAATTATGAAAAGTTTTGATAAAGTATCCCATTCCAGTTAAGAAAACACAGGATTAGATCCCTGCAAAGTCCACTGGGTATACTTTGAGGGCTTCTTCATGCTGCATTAATATATTTAGCAAGATGATTTTTGTTTTTAATAGGAAAGCTATTTGATAAAAGGGAATATGCAGGAAAAATGAACAGGGAATTGGCTAAAACAAGGCATTCTTCTATACTAAATTAATCTATGCTTTAAAAGCAAAATTCTTTTTATACTGAAACAGTCTTTCTCTGGATGCATTCAGAAAGTAAGACTCGCCCATACCATAACCTACCAGATAAGCTCCTCCTAGAGCTGAGAAGGCAGCACAGCCAAGTGCAGCTGATAACAGTGGTGCACGTAAGCATCTGTCCAGCATTGCCCTGACACTTCCATGTGGTGCCAGCACTGACAGCCCTTCAGTGGCCCTCTGCAGTGGAATGTTATCTGTGCCCCTCTGTGCCAGCACGGCTGTTGAGAGATTAAACTGGCTCAGAAACCCTCAGGTAGGACCTGTGCTACACATACAACAAGCTTTGAAATTTACTATCATCATTTATACAACTATACATAACATATATGTGTGTAGTACCATCAGTTATACAGAGACCTAATGGTGTGCCCAGGCAGTCAAGAACAGCAAAATCCTGGGTGCTGCTTTAGAGAAAGTCCAGTTTAGTTCTCCCTGAAATCAGTGTCAGCATCAGCAGACATGTATATGACTTATGACTTATATATGACACATAAATTTATGACTTATGACTTATATATGGCCTTAAAGACTACAAGCAAAAAGCCTGAAGTACACATATGTGGTAAGGGTTTGATATCATATTCATGATACAGACAGAAATGTTTTATCTGGACACTGAGATCACAGAGAAGAAGGAACAAATTCTTAAGGAGTCCCCTTGTATGCCATGCCCCTCCTCCAAGGTGGGATTAGCTAAACCTGAGCTGCACATTGCAAATATTTCTCACCTTGAGCACTTTTTCACCAGGGGCTACAGCAGAGACAGAGGGGTGATCAGGAAATAAATAAAGAAATAGAGGGTTTATGTACTAAAATACTTAGAATGCCAAATTACAGTGTGTTCAGATCTTCCTTACTGATTTTTTTCTTTGACTTCCCCAGCCAGAGAACCAATCCATAAAACAGAGAATGCCACTTATGTACCATGCTTCAATTTCTGTATGAAAACTGAGATATAAATTAGGCAAAGGCATTTGACCAGGGATCTGAATTAGAGGTACACAGTCAGAGTTAGTCTAATTCAACAAAAATCAGCAGACTTTAAAATAATTTGGCCCACAGTATTACAATACAAAAAATATATGGTGTATTTACAACCTTGGTCTCTCCAGCTGTGTTGGTTTAGGTTTTATTACATCAGTAATAACAATTTATGTGATACTCTGAATAATGTGCTATTAAAAATTCAGTACACTATATATTGTTACCCATGGGATTTAAACTGTGGGAGCTATGTGCATTATTCTCTACTTTGCTATTTCTATAGGAGTGAAGATTACTATAAAAATGGTTAGGTTATATACATCATGTGAATTCCTGCTCTGCTTGAATCCAGGTGAAGAGAAGAAATAGCTCAGTCCAGACTGCCTCGGGGGTAAGAGTCCCAAGAGTCTTAGTCTTGCAATCTAAGGTTACAACGATTCCACATTAAAGCATGAAAATAATATCAGTGTGCTTTTTGATGTCTTTAAAGGATGCCAGCAGATTTGTGAGGTATAACCTTCCCTAACAGAATCCATTTGATGCTTCTACAGAGCACCAGCTTTATCTGTATGTCTATTGATTTTACTTATTATAGCAGTTCATCTAATTTTCCTGCTACAGAAGCCACACTGACAGTTTTGTAGTTCCTATGATCACCTTTGAAGGACTTTCCTGAAGCACCAGCAGGTCACTGGTACAACTCCTGTGTTCTGTTTTGCTGACATTAGGATCAGAATCAGCAAAAAACCAACCAACTGGCACTACCACTTGAGAAGCTGAGCATTTTAATCCCTTGGTGGAAATATTGCACAGCTCCAGCAACTGGTTACTGGTTAATTTATCAATTTCTCTTGAAGTGTTTCCTGATGACAATTTACTTTAGAACAGTTGCTCACAGCCCACCAAATCTAGCAAAGCAAATAATTCTTTTAGCTGTGGACACAGCCACATTGAATGCTTCTTCTGTGCTTCCATCCTCCATAGCTTTACTTACAGTCTCACAGGACTCCTTTGAAAACATTTAGACTGTTACTTTCACTTTCTTGGCAAAATCTTAAAATCTTTTTGGTGACCTTTCTTGTGGTTCTACATTTAATATGTATGCTCCTTACTTACTTACATAACTTCCATTTTTGGAAGATGTCTTCATTTTCTTGCCTCAGATGACACATTTTCAATATTTATGAGTGGCACTGCCAGTATCCTTATCAGACTCTGGGAGCAGGGCCCAGGTGAGGGAGCAGTAGAAAACAGTAATCACAGTGCATTGTCTTTCCTTTTTATAACCAGATGTTCCATTGCAAACAACTAAAAGGCAGTAAAACAGGATTAATCAAACAGATAGTAATTAAAGTCAAAGCTTTCATGATGTTTATAGCTACACATTACTTGTCTTTCTTAAAATTCTACATACATATTTGTTAGATTTGGTAAATATCTTAGAATCTCTTTCTAAATATAAGAAAAGAAGAAACTTAATTCAAACTTCTAAGCTGCCCCCTTTTCTGTTTGGAAAGTGTGGTAGTGCCTTTAAATTGCCACGTGTCAAAACCTGGAAGGATTTACCAAGGGAGCAGTCATCCCCTGTGTACTCTGTTCTTCAATACTTTCTTAGAGCACCTGCTTGAATCTCATTACAGAGCTGAGGAGAACCTTTGGTCTAACTTAGCATCCCAGTTATTATTAATGGAGTTAAATCAAATGATTTTTATAAAGTATTGAAGAAAATCAGATAGGATCAAATGTGAAATAATTGCCTTTGTGCCAGTTCTCCACCCTGCAAAGACAGAAAATTCATATAAGGAAGACAACATGATCTGAACAAAGAAGCATGAATTTCTGTCTCTGACATGTTATTACCCCACTATTTGGGGGTAATAATTGGAAAATAGCATTAATGTCATCATATCTAGTATGAGATCAAACTCAGAGGTATCTACGTACTACTAGGTGAGCAAAACCTGTTTATTTATTTATCATTGTCCTGAAAGAGAGGAAGTGGTTTATCTCATTCCTGCTGTAATGAATGTCCTCCCAAGCATCCTCTCTCAGGTCTAATGTATACATTATTCTGGAGGAATTCTCTCACAGACATAACAAACATACCCTCTAGCCCGCTGTGAGAATTAAGGTCCTGAATAATACGTTTGTTTCTCAGTGCTGTGGGGTAAAGGTTTTCAAGCTGCCATAGACGGGCTATTTTCAGGGGCTCCCCAGAGGCGGGCCCGGCTGCCTGTGGCACAGGCAGGACCTGCAGAGCAGGACCTGGAGCTGTCCCGCCGCAGTGTCACCGCCTCTGACGGGTGTCCCCGGCTCAGGCAGCACCAGCACAGATGCTGCCATCTGCTGCTGCATCAGCTCCCTGCTGCTCCACAGGCCAGCGTTTCTGCAACACCTGAGGACACTGTGGTCTTTGGATGCACAGGTAGAGAAAGGTGAGTAAAAGGACACAGAAAAGCAGTTAAGGGTTAAAACTGGGTGGTGGGGGAGAACTGGATGGTTAAGGGATGAAGCTGGTGGTAGTAAGGGGACTAGTGCTGCAGGGAACACACATCAAGACCTAGCTGGACGCTAGGAGGAACACTGATGGGATAACAGAAGTGGTACATTTCCCTAACCCTGCAAGGCTCTGCCCTGTTTAGGACAGATACAAACCTCAGCTGCACTGAGCAGCTACAATACATGCCAAAATAATCTGCCAGAACTGGGCTGAGGTCCTGGTGTCAAGTCAAATGGCAGAAAATACTTGTAAATCAAACAGACAGTGTCAAGTCTGTATCACATCTGATAAAACTGTCCAATGTTGATGCTGAAGAAATAAAGGCGCAATATTTTTCTCTAGGAGGTGCAGTTCTTTGAGATATCTGGCAACTTCCAATCTTAAGACCATGGAAAATAACATTATAATGGTCCATATTATAGCACCCATGCACTTTTAAGCTAAACATACAGGAAATATATAGTAACACAGTGCTTCACTTCCCTGTTCTGCCTTGTAGGGAGCCACTGGACCACAGCAGATTTCATTAAATGTTCTTAATTTATTCTGCCTCATTGCTCTTTTGTAAACAGGGAAGTTCCCTTGAGAGCAAGGCATTTAGTCCAAAAGGAGTATTGTGAGTGAATATGCAAATTTAACACACACCACCAAGGTAAGATTCCTTGTTAGCTACTGGAGTGTCTCACAAGTTAAGGGCTTTTGATTGCAGGGTAGAGCACAGCATTCTCCCAAACATTCGCTCTCTTTACAACTTCCCCTTGAAAAATTCTTTGACAACCAATGGTTGTCATGGTTTAAATCCCAATCTAGGTCAGAGAGAAATTTGCAACTTTATATTGGTTCCTTACTTTGTGGTTTATCTTTATTACTTTCTTTTTGACCAGGATGATAGAAACAACATTTTATTCATTCTTACTAAGATTAAAAAAAAAAAAAGTAACACAGGAAAGGTAATGATTAATCCGTTCTGTAAGAAAAAGGAAGAAATCCGATTGTGAACTCACTGGTATTATCTAAGCAGTATAAATAGAAGTGCACTCAGAGAAGGCATAGAATGACAAGCCCGTGATGAATTGTTAGGGCATGTTGAGTTGGTTCTGTCAATGCCTGCAGTCAGATGATTTCACTGGCTGTACAAGATGAAATCTCATATTTCAACGTTTAAGTAAAAGTGTCAAAGTTCAGCTGGAGCAGGGACGAATGCAGAACAAATTTTGTGTGTATTTGTAACTAGGGCACCAGAGCAATAGAGGAAGCCAAAATGAGCCGGAAAAACAAAAGGAGTTTAAAGGAGAAATTTTCCTTGAAGAACAGCCTGGTTAAAGAAGCCCTCTCAGAGTTCCTGGGAACTTTTATACTGATAGTAAGTGTCAGCTGCTTTCCTTTCTTCCTACTAATCTAATGTTGGACAGTGGTTGTAAGGGGACATGTATACTTGTCTTGTACTGTGCCAGCAGCGAGGTTACAGCCTGACCATGCACAGCCTGAATGAATTGCTCCTATGACGGTAAGTTTGTAATTCCTTTCTTCACCCCATGTAATTATCACTGCCTATAAAAACCAGATTGTTTTATGCATTACAATTGTCTGATTGGCATTAGATTTCATCTAGGAGTGGAATTTCAGTGAAGGAGCACGTTCTAAACAATCCAGATATGCACAATGAATGTTGTTAATACTCTCCTGTTTTTTAAAAACTCAGCAGTTCATTTTATGCACAATTGTGTTTACATTAAAAAACATATTGTACTGCATGTTTAGAAAATTTTAGTTGAGTTGTTTTCCTGTGTAATATAAGAATTTAGCTTTGTCATTTGTAGTGAATTTATTGGGAATTGCATTGCCAAACCCTCGGAGATTTTTTAAGTTAAAAATTTTTTGTTTTGTTTTTTACCATACTACATAAATTATACATATATTACTTGGTCCTGTAGTACTGCTAAAACTAAGATAAATAGCTAAATTTCCCATTTTTATAACCCCAGATTTTTTTTTAAACATAATTTCTTGCTCAGTTTTTCTGTGCATTTTGCACTGGGACTGTGACTCACCAGGGGAGAGAGCAGGCTGTGTAGCAGAGCAAGATGTCAAGCAGCTAGACTATTTATGCCAAACTTTCTTTCTTTCTCCTTTTAGTCTGGACAATGCAGTCTTGCTTATTGCTAAATATTTCATCATAGTGAAAAGGCAAAAAAAATAGCAGCAGGCACAGTACTGACCTAGGTTTTATGACTTTGACTGTATTAGCTAAATTTCAAGTAAGTCATCTAAAAATTCCAGTAGCTCATAAAATACTGGAAATTATGATCTTTACTACAGTTCAGCCAACTGAAGTGCACCGGCACTAAAATAACATTATTCTCAAATTTAATACCATCCATAAGATGTTATTACAGTAAGGAGCACATTTAGAAGCAAGGAGCACAGAGCACTTTACAAACATTAATGAATTAAATGTCACAACACCCTGGTAAGGAGGGGAAATGTCATTATCTTCATTTTGTATATTAGCAAACCTGATTACAGGAGCCTGCACAGGAAGCCTGTGGCAGAACTCTGAATATAACCCACATCACCTGACTTCCAGTACTCTGTCCTCACCACAAGATCCTCCCCCTCTTTCCATTAATAAAATTAAGCAAGAGAAGAAAACATATTAAAGTGCAGATTAGACTAGCAAATGCTATTATTTAATATTATGCTGCACAAGGCTAGAAAGGAAATGCAAACCCAGATCCTGTTTTCTACTATATTCACCATATGAGTGCAGTAGAAAATGAAGCTACAAAATTTTTGTTGACAATCTGAGTTTCTCATTCCTCTTACCCCTTTCTAGTTTCAGTCTTGGTTTAAAGCAGAAGGAGCCTCACCTGGATTAAACTGCAGCTTTCTCAGTGCTTGGATACCTCAGCTTGTGTTAAGGCTGCACACGTTAGCAGCAGCAGCAAATGTTTATTGTGAAGAAACTGCCTTTTCTGCTGTTGTCGTAAGCTGCACTGGGGAAGTTTAGGTTACATGTCAGGAAGAAATTCTTCACTGAAAGAGTGATTGGGCACTAGAATCACCTGCCCAGGGAGGTGGTGGAGTCACCTTCCCTGAAGGTCTCTAAAGTGCCATGGTTTAGTTGTTGAGGTGTTCTTAGGTGAGAGGTTGGACTTGATCTCAAAGGTCTTTTCCAATCTAGTTTGTTCTATGATTTTGTGATTCTATTTATTGCTGTTGCTTTTAAACTTTGTCAGCTAGTAAGCACTTAAAGCACAGATAAATATGAAACCCTTAATATAAATTGGAGCTAATGAAAGAGGCACCCTGGTTAGTCAGAGGACAGAAATCCTTGAAAAACAGCATGTATTCAAAAGGAGTTAGAGTAATAGGATAGTGTAAGAACTATGTGTTAAAGCTGTTACAAATGGAGGGGAGAGTTTACAGCCTACAGCACAGCTGATTCATGTCTTTGCTGAAAGCCATTTCAGGTTGCTGTGATGGGGTTTAGAGATTGTGGAGATCACCTGTGCCAGGGAGTGAGGCTGAGACAGCATTTCTATTAGCCACAGGCTCTGTCTGGAAGCCAATGCTAACTGACCACACCTAAATCCGGGACCCACTGCTGGGAGTTAGCCGGGTGAAATTCTGTCCCTCCGAATCACCTATTTCTAATTTTTCTGGAGAATAACTTCAGAGGCCACATACAAATAGGAGCCTAAACTACCATCTTTGGTAACTCTTAGTCTTGCAACATTATTTTCCAAACAGGAAATCTAGAAAGTGGAATCAATCATCAGACTAAAACCCAGCCTTCACCTCAGGGTGTGTCCTGCAATGCCAGACAGATTTAACACAACAAGCCTTGAGAAAGGCACTGGGCACACAGTTTGGATAAAATCTCCTGGTCAGCCCTACTTAGCATGCTGCAGTTTGCCTTGCAGCATGGACTCAGAGCACGTAGACAAAATTCTTTCCAGGTGAAAATAAAGTAGAAGGTGAGTTCCAGAATCACAGGAAATGTGCTGACCATTAATGGATGCTCAATCCAGTGCATCAGACTGGAGATGCTCCAAATAAGTAATCCCTCCTGAGAGACTCACATGTTCTCAGGTGCTTACATTACACAGTTTGATAATACAGGCACAGCCCACGTGAGCCATGCTCTCTGCTTAGCAAAGCACCCAATTCCAGTAAGAAACATGAAACTCCAGGAGCCTGGAAGCATTCTGAGGTGGGAGAACACCTACCTGTTTGCACCATGGTGGCTGGGAGCCCAGCCTCAGACAGTCTCAGCCTTCTGCAGCTGGGACTGGCCCCAAGGCCTCCCTTGAGGAAGAGCTCTCTAGGGAGCTTTTACAGTTCTCCATCATGTTTCCTGGTTAGTACATTTCCTCTTGGGAAGTTTGTGAGTTAATCTGGGGGACAACATCTGTGTGCTAGCACAAAAGCTATAGTCAGGAAGCCATGCTGCATCAGACAGATAGTTTATGTGGCTTTTTAGTGAGTCTGGCTGGAATTCACCTATCCAACTGCCTCTCTGCTTTTAATCATTCTCCTCTCCATATTTCCTCTTTGGAACTTGACTGCATTGCTCTCAACCAAAATGGGATTTACTCTGACTTGCGCCATTAAGTATATCTGAATTGAAACAGTTCCAAAAAGAGATGCCAAATAGGCCATGTGGCTTCCTTTAACAGCTACTGCTCACCTAACACAGTTTCTATTTCATTTTCACTCTCAAGAGCATCTTACTGAACAGAGTTTCCCAGAAAGGAGCTGCACAGGAGCCAGGATCTCCAGAGGCCAGAGCAGCATTCACTTCCTTGCTGAGACAAAACACAGGCTTCCATTTAGCATATAAATACAAGTGGGGAGTAGATATATGCTACTAATATATACCTATATATTCCTATGTACATATTCCTATAAACCTGGTCTCCAACTGGAGGGGGGGAGCCTCTTGCAACTCTCATTGAAGCAAATATTTGTGTGTACTTAGAGGATTCAAGGCACAAGCATGAACTGAATACACAACTGCCCTGAAATAGTTCAGCTAATGAGGAAGGCTATTTTTCATCAAAATATTTTAGTCTTGTTTTTATATTCTGACCACTTCATTATGCAACTTATCACTCCTGCTCTGTTGCAGAGTTGAGTTTCTACAGAAGAATCTTCTAGATTGGCATTTGCTCAGTCCATAAGATTAAAATTTAAACAATTTTTCTATATCTACTTTTTGTGGCCCTACATTCCAGTGCACATTAATTACAATACTGCAGGGTAACATATATCCCCTATTCTAAACATGCATTAGAATTCTCATTACATGATGTTATTATATGAAAGCAAACATAGCTTTTGATCCTTTGCTCCTTAAATAAGTGTTTAACATTTAACACAAAACCACTACTTAGAAATTTTAAACAAAGATAAATTCAAAGTCCTACATTTTTGTGAAAGGAATACTTTTTTTTTTGTATAGGATGAAATTACAGAAAGTTTTTTTCCAAGGTAAAAAATCAAATATCAGCACCTTCTATCAGCTGCCTTGTTTGCCATCAGCAATGAATTTCCTAGACTGCAGAATCTTGTATAATTACCTCTTAGTGAACTTAATATTGTCAAAGCTAGATAAGAGGGTATTAGAATTTGTTTATAATTGGTATTTTGATCTCTCAGCTTTTAAAATATTACATAATGCTACAAATACCATAAGCCTTAGCAATATTTGCACTTTGAAAACCAGCTGTTATGTCAGAGATGTACTACATTTTTGCTGCCAGAGACCCAAGTGTCTCTAGCAGCAAAAATATAGTACAACCAATAAATAATACATGTCACTCATTAATCTAATGTTATCTAGTTGCATATATTTTGATGGCATTACATTTTGCTAATGATTCTGGTGAAGACATACAAACTTTTTTTTCAAACTGTATGAAATCAGCATTGCAAACAGAAGACAAAGTGGTTAAGGAGTTGTTCTTGCATACTGTTATTTTTATAATCTTATTATCAGAATCAGTTTTTTTTATAGACAGTCCTTCTGTTTTAGAAGTAATTCTTTAATTCAGCTGAATATTAAGCAGTGTGAAAAAATTGAAAGGAAGCTTAGCTAATTGTTCTTTTAGCCCAAAATATTTATGGCAGCAAAAAATTCTGAATAATCATGGGAATCTTTTGTTTTCCATGCAAACTTAGTTTTCCCAGTATATGACATTTCAAACTTTTAGGTGACTCAGATGTTATGTTACATGAAAGCTATGAAGAAAATTATCTTCGTTTCTGCAATGTCAGCCCCAGCACATAACTCAACACTCATTGTTAAACCAAGAGGTTTCAGTAAGTTGAACTCAATTCCCCAAAACCTTTTTCTGT